GGGAGATTTTGCCCAGGCTGCTCAGCAGCTGTGGCTGGCCCTGCAGGCACTGGGACGGCCTCTGCCCACCTCAAACCTGGACCTGGCCTGCAGCCTGCTTTGGAACCTCATCCGCCACCTGCTGCAGCGTCTCTGGGTGGGCCGCTGGCTGGCAGGCAAGGCTGGGGGCCTGCGGAGAGACTGTGGGCTGAGGATGGATGCACGTGCCAGTGCCCGAGATGCGGCTCTTGTCTACCATAAGCTGCACCAGCTGCATGCCATGGGTATGGCTAGGTGGGAGCTAGGCTGGGGTTCTATCCATCCCTTCACCTCCCATCCTCACACCATGGGAATGACTGGGTCCTACTTATCCCTTCACTTCCCATCCTCACGCCAAGGGAATGACTGGGTCTTACTTATCCCTTCACCTCCCATCCTCACACCATAGGTATGACTGGGTCCTACTTATCCCTTCACCTCCCATCCTCACGCCATGGGAATGACTGGGTCCTACCCATCCCTTCACCTCCCATCCTGACGCCAAGGGAATGACTGGGTCCTACCCATCCCTTCACCTCCCATCCTGACGCCAAGGGAATGACTGGGTCCTACCCATCCCTTCACCTCCCATCCTGACGCCAAGGGAATGACTGGGTCCTACCCATCCCTTCACCTCCCATCCTGACGCTTGCCTTTTTGCAGGGAAATACACAGGAGGGCACCTTGTTGCTTCTAACCTGGCCCTGAGTGCCCTGAACCTGGCTGAGTGCGCAGGAGATGCTGTATCCATGGCAACACTGGCAGAGATCTATGTGGCTGCTGCCCTGAGGGTCAAGACCAGTCTCCCAAGAGCCTTGCACTTTTTGACAGTAAGGAGGCTGAGGGGACAGGGCTGGGTGCTTGTCTTTGCAGCTCTTATCTGGCCCTTCCAGGGCCAGGGAACGAACCAAATGTAGCAGCGGTTAGCAGGTGGGCTGTAGGCCAGCTGGGTTCTCCGTCTCAGGGCTGGGTTTGAGCGTGGAGCCAGAGTCACAGTCCTGTTCCTTTCCCCACAGCGTTTCTTCCTGAGTAGCGCTCGCCAGGCCTGCCTGGCACAGAGTGGCTCAGTGCCTCTTGCCATGCAGTGGCTCTGCCACCCTGTAGGCCACCGTTTCTTCGTGGATGGGGACTGGGCTGTGCATGGTGCCCCACAGGAGAGCCTGTACAGCGTGGCTGGGAACCCAGGTGCTCTCTCATTCCGTTTTTATGCCTTGTCCCTACCTCACATGACCCTGTCCCCTCATCTCTGAACGCCCTCACCCACCCAGCTTATTTTGCGCTGTGGCTGGGGCTGCGGCTGGAGCTGGTGGAAGGCCTGCTGGGCTTTAGAAGCAGGAAACAGCATGGGTCAGTGGGCAGTGTGGGTGGATTTGAGAGGAGACGCCAGGCCACACCACTGTGGTCTCAGGAAGAGCCCTGAGGAAGTCAGGGCCAGTGGCTATGGGATTGAGTAGGCTCTCCCTTCCAGTGTGGAGCTCTTGCACAGCCCACCCATTTTCCTCCCCAGGGCAGCGGCCGAGTAGCCCAGGCTTCAGAGGGCAGGGGCTAAGTGCTTACACATCGGTGTCTACATGTCTGTTAGGACTTGGAACTAGGAAGTGGCTCTGGGTTGGGGCCGCAGCCTATGAAGGCATTGATGTGGGAAGGGAACTATGGAGGGAGGATGCCTAAACCTCTGCTCTGTTTACCCCTACTCACAGTGGATCCACTGGCCCAGGTGACCAGACTATTCTGCGAACATCTTCTGGAGCGAGCGCTGAGCTGTATCGCTCAACCCAGCCCAGGGGCCGCTGATGGAGACAGGTGTGTACTCCCAGGCAAGACCCTCCTTCCAACGGGGACTCTGGGAAAGCCCTGTCCAAGCTGTTTGCTAGCCAGACCCCGTGTGTCCTTAAAGCCCCTTACTCTCCTCTGTCACGTGGTATTTAGTGAGCCATAGGGTCAGACTGTGTTCTGATGGGCAGTTGGGGGGAGCCAGTGTCACCTAGAACCCTGAGGCTGCTGCTATGTGTCCTGACAGCTCTCCCCTGCCTCAGGGAGTTCTCAGACGCACTTGGATACCTGCAGTTGTTAAACAGCTGTTCTGATGCCGTCGGGGCTCCTGCCTGCAGCTTCTCCGTCAGCTCCAGCATGGCTTCCACCACTGGTGAGCTCCAGATCCCTGTCCTGACTCCTGCCAGGCCCAAATGCAGTGTGGCTGAGGATCAGGCTCCTTTCCCTCTTCTGTAGGCACAGACCCAGTGGCCAAGTGGTGGGCCTCACTGACAGCTGTGGTGATCCACTGGCTGCGGCGGGATGAGGAGGCAGCCGAGCGCCTCTACCCACTGGTAGAGCATATGCCCCAAGTGCTGCAGGAGACTGAGTGAGTGTCGGGCCAGGTCCTCCTCACCCAGTTTTGGGCCCCTCGGTGCTTTGCTTAACTATATGGGAAGGACAGTGTACTCTGCCCCAGGAGACTAGAACCAGGATGGGAGGGCTCAGGGAGGGGCTGTAGCCTGGTCTAACCTACCATGTCTGCTCTGGCCCCAATAGGAGACCCCTGCCCAGGGCAGCTCTGTACTCCTTCAAGGCTGCCCGGGCTCTGCTGGACCACAGAAAGGTGGAATCTGGCCCAGCCAGCCTGGCCCTCTGTGAGAAGGCCAGTGGGTACTTGCGGGACAGCTTAGCCACTACACCAACTGGCAGTTCCATTGACAAGGTGAGGGTGAGGTGGGTACCTGGCTAGCCAGGGTCACAGCTGTCCATTCCTAGTTGGAGTTAATACGAAATAGTGCTGAATGGGCTGACATTAGTGTCGGGTGAAGGCTAAAGTCCTGGGGAGAATGAATGGTCTCAGCATTTTCCTACCACCGGGAAGAAGGGGGTGGTGAACAGGCTGGCAGAGCTCCTGTGGGGGGCCATTGTCGGGAAGTCTGAGGGCTTGAGGCATGTGGCCCAGAGGAGGTGGACCTATGGTGAATTGCTGTTGCTTGCATGTGTGAGGCGGGTGCAGGGCCTCACAGTGCAGCCTAGATCAGCCCCTGGTGCTGTGGGCTCTCTGCCCTTACCATTGCTAGGGCCCGTTGACCTCTGCCCCGTTGCCACCTCAGGCCATGCAGCTGCTCCTGTGTGATCTGCTTCTTGTGGCTCGTACGAGTCTGTGGCAGCGCCAGCAATCCCCAGCCTCAGCCCAGGTAGCTCACAGTGCCAGCAACGGACCCCAGGCCTCTGCTCTGGAGCTTCGCGGTTTCCAACAGGACCTGAGCAGTCTGAGGCGCTTGGCACAGAGCTTCCGGCCTGCCATGAGGAGAGTAAGTCCTACTGTCCTCACCTCACACCGGGAGGCAGGAGGCAGGAGGCCAGGGGAGAGAGTAGGTACTCAATCTGAGACTGGCCGTTACTCCTCACTTCCCAGGTGTTCCTGCACGAGGCCACAGCTCGGCTGATGGCAGGAGCAAGTCCTGCCCGCACACACCAGCTCCTGGACCGCAGCCTGCGGAGGCGGGCGGGCTCCAGCGGCAAAGGAGGTGAGGAGGTGGTTGGGCTTACCGTGTGTGTGTGTGTGTGTGTGTGTGTGTGTGTGTGTGTGTGTGTGTGTGTGTGTGTGCGTGCGTGTGCGCGCGCGCGTGCATGTGGGGGTGGGGTGGTTTGGCCTGGTATGAGGGATACCGAGAGCCGAATTACAGAAATCAACTGGGAGTAACAATTCGTGAGATGGTCATAGGGAGGAAGCTGAGCCCAGCTGTGTACCCGACATGGGTGGAGAGCAGGACCCTGGCATCCATAGTGTTGGGCGTTCCCTGTACAGGTCAGATGCCTTGTGCGTAGGGTGTGGCCTTAAACAGACCTAAGCCTTGCTCCCCTGACATGATCCCTATGTGCAGGCGCTGCGCCTGAGCTAGAGCCTCGACCCACATGGCGGGAGCACACCGAGGCCTTGCTCTTGGCCTCCTGCTATCTGCCACCTGCCTTCCTGTCGGCCCCTGGACAGCGGATGAGCATGCTGGCCGAGGCAGCTCGCACCGTCGAGAAGCTTGGTGATCATCGGCTCCTGCTTGACTGCCAGCAGATGCTGCTGCGCCTGGGTGGCGGGACCACTGTCACTTCCAGCTAGACCCTGGCCGCTTTCCCCAGTATTCGAGGCCCTTAAGGACCTTTGTCACTGGCTGTGGTCGTCCAGAGGGTGAGCCCGACAAGCAGTCGGGATCATGCCGACCTCTAGTGGCAGATCTAGAAGTTGCAGAGGCTGCACTGGCCCAATGCCACCCTCTTGCTCTGTAGGCACCTTAGTGGCTTTTTCCCTGTATATGGGAAGGAACCTTTCCCCTAGCAGAGGGCCACCCTGTCCCAAGGCTCTCACCCTCTCCTGGGAGACTTGTACATAGTGTAGATTCTGCTGAGCCCGTTTCCTGAGCAGGCTCATGTACTACTTGACTTTTGCAAACTTTATTTTCATAGGTTGAGAAATTTTGTACAGAAAATTAAAAAGTGAAATTATTTATAACCTCAGTTTTGTTTATCTGGGTAGGCAGATGTTGGCCTCATCTGACTGCCATCCTTCCTGAATTGTCCTCTGGGAAGCAAGACTTCCCATCTGCTGTAAGGGGGTTTGCTGGTGTCTGCCGTGGGATGGTGTGATGTTTAGCCAACCTGTCCCACTAAACTCACAGCCACACTTTTGCTCTATCAACCTTGAGGGGTCTTGATGGTCTCAGTTGCCTTTGCCCCAGCCCCTCAGCAGGTCCTGGGGTGATCAGGGCTGACTCAGCAAACCTCAAAGGCCTGTTGTGACAGGGCTACATGGTCTCCCTGTGTGTCTGGAGCATCCCACACACAGTTTCCTGGTCATCTCTTTGTACACCTGGCAAAATCTTGAACCACAGTCAGGACCTGAGACCACATAAGTCTACAAGCACAATCGGGGATCCCTGTTTGTGTCCCCAGGCCCTTCCCTCCACTCCCAACCCCCTAGGGAATCTGGTTGGCATCCACAGGCCACAAACTTCCAAAACAATCGTGGTATCTTTATTGACTTTTTTTTTTTCTGAATGCAATGACTGTTTTTTTTTTTTTAACTCTTAAGGAAAATAAACATCTTTTAGAAACAGCTCGATACACACAATCTTCAGTGTGAAGCAATATACTAATAAGAACACTAGTTGTCTTAACATTTACAGTCTTCATATATATTATATATATGTATATGTATACATATATATACACTATATAACGAGGCCAGATATAATACACACGTTTACCATTTTACAGTCATATGTACAGGAAGTTGCAGGGAAAGGGGGCTGCATCAGGCCTATTGAAGCGTGGACAGAGCTGAGAACACAAACGGACAGGTGGGGACTGGCCGTGGTGGTGGCAGCGGCGGTGATGGTGGTTGCATGAGGAAGGGGCATCACTAGCCCCTACCCCGGCCAAGGCCAGCTTAGGGCTCTGTGCTGTGGAGCACACGACGCACAGCAGCGACACACAGAAGCGAGCATGTTCCCAACATATATACATTCTATGTAACATATATATAGAGGGGTACACAGGTTTGTACACGAAGTCTAGCGCTGTCCCCGCCCACGAGCCGAGTGAGCGGCAGTCCCTGGAACCCACGGTGGTGCATTGGGACGGCTGCCTAGAGGGTAGCCAGGCCGTTTCCTCAAGCTTCCAGACTGGGCTCCAACTGTGGGGTGGAAGACTGGAAAGGGGGCAAACAGAAGCCACAGGGCACCGCCCCAGGCCAGCCCACATCAGGAACCGCATGGCCTGAGTCCAGGCCGGCCACGACCCTGGGCAAAGCCTCGGGGGCCAGGGCAGTATTCCCCCATTAGCCGGGCCTCTCCAGAAAGGCTTGGGTCCTGCCCCACGTCGTCCACCGAGCCAGCAGCGCCCTCGGCCTCTTCCCAGGGGGCACAGCTTGCATGCCACGTCGTTTCAGAACTTGCAGGGGACTTGTACCCCGCCCGAAGCCGCGTGCCCCAGGTCTAGCCGCCCGGTGGCCTGCCCTCGCCAAGTCTGGCCTGGAACAGGTTTTCTTCGCAACCCGGGCGTCACGCCAGCGCCCGAAGCAGCCGGAACCAAGACCCGGGATGGGATCAAGGACCGGCTGTGGGCGCAGCTCCTCTTCCTCGGAGGCTCGGCCACGTGGGAATTACAACGGCTGCCTCTGTGGGAGGGACAGCACGTCACGGCCAAGGCCACCCGCTGCCCCCCGCCCTAGCCCTTCCACGCGAGGCCCTGCAGCCCATTCTGTGGGTTGTGGGAGAAGTACCTTAGGGCCCTGGCCGCGCCCCCTCTGTACCTTCTGGCAAGGCAGGGAGAAACTGGGTTGGGTGGGGGGACTCCAGGAGCCTGTTCACCTACCTTATGTTTGGGGCACTTCAAAGTAAAATTCTCCTCAATGAATGTGCAACCTGTGAGCAAAGAGAAGTTTCTGTGGCGATGCAGGGTAGGCTTGGCTGCCAGTGTGATTCTGAGCACCCAGGGATGCAGACCTTCTGATATTCTCCGCCCCTCCCTACACTCCGAGAGCTCCAGGTCTTGCCACCCAGGGCCTCTCCCCACACAGAACAGACTCGTTCCCTAACATGCCCACTCCCCCATGCCTTATTGTACACGGCTACTCCTGCCCCAACCTCGTGCACAGCTGTCAGGAGAGGCCCTTGCTCAGAAAGCACCCAGGACTGCTGGGCGGCTGATAACTGGAGAGTCGAGTCTCAGGTTCTGACAGGAATGTCGGCTGCCGAGCCTCGACCTCCACTTGGTAGAAGTCACAATGTCACCTACTGGGTGCTGTCATGGGTACCCTTCCTCATGTTCAGATTGACAAAGCCACAGGTCTGGATGAACCCCTAGACGCCCAGAGAGGACAGCGAAGCACAACCAGCTTCATGCCTACCTGGGCAGTGTGGGGCTGAGACCTCCTTGCCAGCTGCCATCCACCCTCTTGGGCCCATCTTTCCTCCCTTCTCTGCCACTGACCAGGGGTTCACCTCAGCAGACATATTCTCCCGTCTCGTACTAGGGATGGTGCAGAGCCTGCCTATATTCCCCACCCCTTTTTACAGTATTTTTATTTTATAATTAACAATTTCCCATATCAGCCACGGATTCCCCCGTCCTCCCTCCTCCCACCCCCTCCCTTTTCTCCACCCAAAGAGGAGGGGGAATGTTGCAGGAGAGCTTGTCTTCTAGGTCAGCTGCTGGTAGGTGCGCTGAGGCACACACTTCGGCTCTGGGGCTGGGCTGGACCTAGGTTCCCACACAACCTAACCAGGGGTGGTTGCTCCCTCCCAGTCAGCTCAGCCAACTATTATCCAACAGTAAGAGCAGGGACTGGGGGCGGGGGTGGGGGCAAGCAGCTTTGGGACTAATCCAGATGTTCAGCTTGGACCCTACGCTGTAGCCAATGAGCGGCAGAAGGGGATAGTCAGTGGTCACCTTACTTCTAGCAACCCAGGAGGACACCTAGGAGAGGCCGGCCCCATGTGGTGAACTATTCCTGTACTCCCTAGGCACGTGGGAGCGGGCCCCTCTGGCCTCTTCATTTGCCCTGGCTGCCGTTTCCAGGGTTCTACCTCTGTGACAGCTGTGCGGCGGTGCCCCTACCCCCAGTGCTGAGGACACGAGCCCAATGGGGACAGCTCCAGTGCAGCCTGACCTCAGGGCAGCTGCTGCCTGGGCAGGCAGCTCCTCCTATTGCGCCCCACCCTTAGCTACACAGCGCTGCCTTTGGCCAACAGAACACAGGTTACAACAGCCTTGTTACCTGTTCTTGGTATGTGTGTGCCCAGCTGCTGCCACAGGATGCGCTAGGCCAACCACCTGAAGCAGCCAGCACTGGCCCAGCTGGGGACTGCCACAGCAGCCCACCCTCTGCAGAGCCTGATCAAAGTATTAATGGTGTGCTATGTAAGCCACCAAGCTGGGGGTGCAAGGGCAAGGATCTTCCCCCTCCCCCACGTGCCCCCCCCCCCCCCAGTGACCTATTTTGTCACGCTTGCCCTGCCCAAATCAACATTTTTGTTTTTCCGAGACAGGGTTTCTCTGTGTAGCCCTGGCTGTCCTCAGATTCACAGAGATACATCTGCCTCTGCCTCCTGAGTGCTCGGGTTAAAGGCGTGCGCCACAACACCCAACGCCAGGCCCAAATCAACATCTTAGAATGAGGAAGCCAGGCGTGACATACCCATGTCTTGTTTTCTCAAGTCTTGTGAATTCTGTGGTTCTACCTGCACCAGGCAGTGTCCTCTTCTGCCTGGACCACTGTGGAGTTCACCAGCCTCCACCATGTCAATGTCTCAGATTCCTGTTAGCTGCTCAAAGCCTGGTCTACAGTCCCACCACTAACTAGCCATGGCTCAACGCATCTGATGTTTGGAGACCTAGCTCCAATGTCACCTGTCTGGAATCTTCCCCAGATTCTTTCCAGCTCAGACAGAATGGGTCTCTCTTCTGAGCATTTTCTCCTCATCTGATGGGAGAGTATTGTCAAGAAGACAGAATTTGGAATAACCTGGAAGATGGGTCTCTGGGCATGCCTTTGAGGGATTATCTTTTAAATTTACATTTATGGGTGCTTTGACTGAAAAGTACTTCTATGCACCACATGTGTTCCCGGTGCCAGTAGAGGCCAAAAAGGGGGTATCAACTGCCCTGGAACTGGAGTTTCAGAGGCTTATCAGGACACCGTGTGGGTGCTAAGTCAAGCCCAGGCGCTCCTGCAGGGCAGCAGTCCTGCCCAGCCATCTCCACCCGTGTGAGGGAGTTATCTTGATTAAGTGCAGTGAGAACATAGACCTGCTGTTCTCTGTTGCTTCTGTGTTTTTTAGAGTTATTATTTTGGGAGGGTGGGTCTCACTATATAGCCTTGGCTGGCCTGGAACTCATTCTGTAGACCAGGCTGGTCTTGAACATGGAGATGTTTGCCTTTGCCTTCCAACTGCTAGGATGAAAGGCATGTGCCACCATGCCTGGCATAAGTTTTATTTTTTTAAATGTGTGTATATGTATGTTTGGGTGGGTATCTGTGTGCCCTGCAGTACTGAGAGAAGCCAGAAGAGGGCATCAGATCCCTGGGCAGCTGGACTTAAGGTAGTTGTAGGCCACCAGGATGTGGGTGCTGGGAATGGAACTTGGGACCTCTGCAAGAGGACTCTTAACTGCCCAGCCATCTGAGACAGAGTCCATCATGTAGCCCTGGCTGACCTGGAACTTGCTATGTAGTCCAGGTTGGCTCCAAATATAAAGACATTTGCCTGCCTCTGACTCCCAAATGCTGGGATTAAAGGAGTGTGCTACCATGCCTGGCTCCTTTCTGCTGCTTTTTTTACTTTTTCTTTTTTCTATGTAGCCCTGGCTGTTCTGAACACACTCTGCAAACCAAGCTGGCCTTGACCTCACATGAGAGACACCTGCCTCTGCCTCCCAAGGTGTGGATTAAAGGCATGTGCCATTATCCCCAGCTCTGCTCTCCGCTTCCTGACCAATGTAGTGTGACCAGCTCCCTTAAGTCCCTGTTCCTATGACTTCCCTACTGTGGTGGCTTGTGACCTGTGACTGAGCCGAAACTCATCTGACCATCTCTACGCTGTTTTTGCCAGGGCATCTTATCACAGCAACAGAAAAGTGACCGAGACACCTAGTCTACTACTGTGCTTGTCCTGTCTGCTCCCTTCAGGCTGTGAGCCCCTGGGGAAGCTGGACAAGCTTGGAGAAAGCAGAGAAAGCCAGAAAGCCCAGCCTCTGTGGCTGTGGGTGAGACAGTACACAGTAAGGATGTAGCTAGGGACTGGGGGGCAGAAAGTGAATTGCCACATGGTGACTTGGGCTGAGACAGGTTGGATAGCGAGTGAAGCCTTGTACTTAGGTCGAGTCCACATTCCAATACAGGTCACATTATGATGGAGGCAAAGTCAATGAAGACCCCAATCCTGTTGAGGGTTAGCAGCTCAGCACCCCTGGAAGGCTGTCACCATCTGAGGCCCTGTGTGGCTTCCAGGGTGGCTTGGCTGGGGCTAATGCTGAGGATCCACTGGGCAGGCAGCACTGATGGCAGGTCACTGCTCAGACTAGGACAAATGACCAGGCCAGAGTTGAGAGGGATGGAGGGCTGCGACAGCCTGACCCATGAGGCTGTACTTCCTGGGTGCTGCTGCTCTCATGAAGAGCGGTTCACATTCCAGCTCTGCAGATGGGCCTAAGCACAAAGACTGTGTGATGGGCACAGGAAGAAGGGCCACCAGGGCTGGATCTGGATAGCAGTGGTGCTGCCATTCCCAGTGACCGGATGCTTTCTCTACAGACCAGTGCTGCAAGTTTCCCACTTGACGGGTTAGGGCTGGGTTTCTTGGTCCTGTGGCCCACAAACAATGAATGAGTAGGAACGAGGGCAGGTCACAGGGGGTCTGTCACAGACCTACAGACCTGTTTCAGACTTTGCATGGCCAGTCCTGATAGCCAACATGCCAGCTGGTCTATCTCCATTTTGACCTAAATTCGCCTAGCTTTATTTTTCTGTAGTAAGTGTTGGGGATGGTGTCTCTGGCACTCAGGTAGTGTATTGGCACATTCTGTGTAGGAGCACAGGATGGTTGCCCTCAAACAATCTATCACTTGAGACACCCTCTCAGCTCCCCATTTGGTTTGAGTTGGTATATAACCTCTCTTCTTCTGTTGAGTGTACTCCTATTCATCCTTAAAAGGCCATGCCCATTCACTTTCCTTCCTGAGCTCTTTGCTCAGAGCTCTGGGAGATCCTCAATCTGGTAGGTAGGGACTGACCCATTTCCACATCCTGGAACTGCCAAATGCAGGTAGAGGCCAAGAGAACAAAGAGAGAAAGAATTGCTGGGGCAGGTGAGGGCCCTGGGAGTCCCTGGGGTCTGGGTTGGAACAGCTGTACCCAGGCCGGCTCTTACCTGTGTCATTGGCACAAGGGTAGTGGTAGGTGTGGATACATCCTTTATAGGAGCACGAGATGGTTGCCCCGGCTTCATGACAGCTGGAACATGGCTGAAAAGAGAGGAAGGCAAGTGAGTCCTTGTGTGTTCCAGACAGGCCCCACAGCACTTCTGCCAGAACGGCCCTGTGATGCAGCATGGGAGGAAATGCCCTCGAGGGTTGGCCCTCTGCCACCTCTTTGGGCTGGCACACTGGGTGGAGGACCCTCTTGGGCTAGTGGTGCTAGTCACCACAGGGACCATGGCTGGCAGCCACCATCTGTCAGGTGCTGCTTACATGCTGGCTCTGGTGTGTCCTCATCCACTGGCTCCTTCGAGCAGCAGCAAGGGGCGTGGCTTTCCCTGACCTCCACTTTCCAGCTGGTGAGACAGGCCCCTTCCATGGGAGAGAGCAGCACTCTCTACCCAATGGCAGCAGCAGATGCACAGAAATGAGCTGGGGGAAGAGTTGACATATGACCCCCCGCCAGAGGCTGAGCTCATGTAAATCTGATGCCCCCCCCCCCCAGAACATGTCCAGCCCCTGGCTGGTCTCCACAATGACTTCAGCTGGGCTCGGAGGCTGTGACATAGAACAGGGCAATGACGAGAAGGCTAATGGCAGAGTGATAGCAAATCTTGGCATAGGGAGGGATGAAGACGGGTCCCAGGCCACCTCTGCTCCCAAGCCTATCATCACAGTGGACAGTGAGGTAGGAGGGAAGCAGAGGACCTAGAAGGCTACTACACAATTCAGCAGGTAACAGTCCACCGGGTGCCGGGCATGGCTGGACGTCCTGGCACAGCACCCTCTTCTCCAGGCCAGAGAAAACAGAGCTGGGAACAACCCGGAAGCTCAAAGTTCCAGGGGGACCCAGAGCCGCAGCCCAGCAGGTCCAGGCTGCACCGTCAGGGTGGGCTCTGTCCAAACACTCTGTAGCTGGAGTGGCTAGTGGGGGTGGGTCAGCAAGAGAGGAAGACCTCCATACAGAGCTTCCGGATGAGCCTCCCGAGGACCTGGGGCCCTACGTCCACCTCTTAAGCCACTAGAGGAAACTGAGGCACAGTGGGAACCCCAAAGTAGACCAAATCTCACTCACAGTGGCCTTTGGGAGTACGGAGAGATTTGAGGGTAACTATGCCCCCACCCCCCCTTGTGGCAGATAGTCCCAAGCAACTCCTGAGGCAGGACGGCTCACGGCAGATGTGAAGACACGAAGGCACAGAGGATAAGACTGTGGCTCTTGGCCCCAGTTCCCTTACAGGGGGCACAGCTGATCAAGCGGGCACCACCCCTTGACCCGGGCACCCAGAGGCCACCAGTCTCCTGAGGACCCTCTCTAGCCAGGTAATGAGGTACATGATGATAAACTGAGGATGTGGGCAGCCTGGGTGCCTAAAGGCCTGGAAGGTAGGCATGGTGGGCTGAGATCTAGTGGAGACTGTAGAGGACAGGGAAGACCAAAGGCCTGGCCAGTGTACTGGGTGGAGCTGGCATTCTGGGGCTTGCAGAAGACACGAGGCCTCCTAAAGTTAGACTTGAACCAGGGTCTGACTGGTTCATGGAGAGAGCAGTGAAAGAAGCCACTGAGGCAGGAAGCAATGGGCTCAACTATGACCCTGCAAGTCACTCGCCAGGAAACCCGGGATACCCTAGCCTATCCCCCAGTGTATCTGGGGGGCCATATCCTATGAGCCTGCGGCTGTGGGGGACAGCCTGGCAGCAGGCCCCAGCTGCCAGTAATGAGCCAGCCAGGCCCACCTCTAGCAAGGAGACACCTTCAATATGCAGCCAACCCTTGTCCAATGAGAGCCTCTCCTGGCCTTCCCTGTTACCCTGGGGTGTAGCAGCATTGACAGGGCTCAGCAGTGAGCAGCTCCAGCTCCAGCTGTGACCCTGTGACCCTTACACCCTCCTCAGCTCAACAGGATGTTCTGTGTGTGCCAGAATGGGCAACAGGAGGCCAGAAGCACAGGGCCAGACCAGGGAACAGGGGCCTTTACCTGCACTCACCAATGTTTTTCTGGTAGGAGCCCAGTGCTGGGGTTTGGGAACGAGAGGTGACTGGTCCCAGGCCTGACCCTGGATAATGCAGGGTATCAGGTCTCCCACTGGACAGGGGTTCCAGGATTGTTACTTTCCAATGAAGGGACAGACAAGACTATTTCAAGGTAGCTGTAAAGCTTAAGTCATCATGGAACCAGTGGCAGGCAGGAACATGGGGTTTGGTGCCCGCCTGCTGCTGCATGAACTGGCTGAGGTACTGAGGCTGTGTTGCCTTGTGTCTCAGGCCCTTCTCAGCAAGATGGGTGGACAACAGGGCCCAGAGAGTCTAAAGCCATCAACATGGACAGGAGATGCCTGGAGCCTGGAGCCAAGGGCAGCATCCACAGTGGTCCCCAAGGTCAAGGATGGGGCCTGGACAGAGTGCTCCTGAGGAGCTGGGACAGTAGAGTGTGGGGAGGAGGGGGGTCGCTGGCACAGGCACGGTCCTCTGAGCTCAGCTGCCCACAGTAGACTGAGGGAAGGAGGGAAGGAGGAAATCAACAGAGCTGTATGGATACCCAGGAAGGATGGTGTGGAGGAGTGGGCCTGGCAGCCTCGCTGCTCAGGGCATGATCTGAGAGGCAGGAGTGGCTCTTCTGCCCTGGGGTCAAAACTTCAGGGGAACATGGGCTCTGGAGTGGCCTCTTCTAGTCCCCTTGGTCTGAGGAACCTTAGCTGCAGCCAGAGCTCAGCACGCACTCTCCATCCCAGACTTGTGAGCCCAGATACAGCCCTCAAGACCAATGTGTTAATGTACCAGGTCCTGTGACCGTGCCCCACGGGAGGAAGGACAGGGCAGAGGCAGATGCATGCAGCGGTCCAAAGTTCTTGGAAGGGATGTCTTAGAACTGGAGGGTTGAGCTTCGGGGCTTCCGTGGCCAGGTAACCCAGGGTTGCCCAGAGCCAGTGTCCCATGCTTTAGCCACATGTTGTTAAGAAGCTATCCCATGTGTCCCAGTTCAGGGAAGATCAGGCCACCTCGGCATTCAACTCAAGAAGGGCTCTGTCTCGCCAGGACCCGGCAGCTCCAGTTTTGGGTAGTGTGTGTGGGAAGACTGGCCCAGTGGAACACAGAACTGTGGCCCCAGGAATACTTGAACTTGCCTCCACACTCCCTCAAGGGACTCCAGGGCCTGGAGATTGCACCCTGGCTACTCTTTGACTACAGGCACAAGTAACCCACAATAAAGCACTGGAGACAGACACCTCGACTAGCCTCTTGGTACTTCAAAACCCCATCCCCTACCCCAGCTGGCCTAGCTTCTTACCATGTCCACAGCTACCTTCACGGCCTCCTGCAGCCCAAAGAGCTTCCCGGCCACCAGGTACACCCCGCTGGTCCACACAGCACAGGCCTCATGTACCCAGTGTTCCTGGGTGTCCCCACCAGGTTCTGCAGGGGCCTCTTTGCTGCACTCATGTTTGCGGCTCTTGTCAGCTGGGACCACCTCCTCACCCCCGTCCCCCTGACCGTCACAGCAATAGCAACTCTGCAGACGTCTGGACAGGCCCCGGGCACTGGTGCGCAGGGAGCCCTGCTTGGCAGGGTCAGCTGGGCCATCAGGCCTGGAGAGCCTCCCCAGGGGCGTGGCGGCGGTGATGGTGGTGGTGGTGGTGGTGGTGGCGGCGGCGGCGGCGGCGGCGGTCGTGGCAGCAGTGGTGCTGGCCGCACATTCCAGGCCTTTGACTGTTCTCTCGAGAGGCAGAGAGGCCTCCTCAAAGGTGCCTTCCAGCCGCACCTTCTCCTTGAGTTTTGGTTTCTTTTTGGGGAGGCAGTGTTCAGGGTAGTAGGGGCCACAGAGGTCCCCGAGGTCCTTGAAGTTGGCCGGGTTTTGGCAGAGGCAGCAGACAAGGCAAGAGGTACTCAGGGCCTTGGACACCACAGGCCCCAGATGCATGGTGGAGGAGAGGGGCAGGGAGGGCCTCGGCTGCAGCGCAGAGCCTCCAGGGAATGTGGTTAGAGAGGTCCCAGCTGGTTCTGAGGAGGAGGAGGAGGAGGCGGAGGAGGAGGAGGCAGCAGAGGAGGCCGGCTTCCAGTGAGGCTTGGGCTCGTCCCCCGGGGAGTTGACGACTGTGCATATGGTGGTGTACGCATCTCGCTTCTCCACCCGCACAAAGGGCGAGAAGGCTGGGGTGCGGCTGTCTGCCCTCAGCCGCTTGCAAGAGGAAATGTATTTGAGTCGGATCTCAGGCTCTGCAGGATCCAGGGGCAGTACCTGCTGCTGCCGTCTCCGAGTGGCACGTCCCTTACAGGGCGAAGCATGGGTGGTCTTAGCCCGGCCACGACTGAGGCGCTTCCGCTTTGAATAGCTGCTATAGCTGGCTTGGCCTGGCTGCTTCTGTGCCCTTGTCTGGGGCTGGCAGGGCCGGCCTTCAGGGGGCTGGGAGGCCAGGCCCAGCTCCTCTGTCTTTGGCTTCTTGCCTCCTCCACTGGAGCTGTCCTCACCTCCACCCTGAGTGCTGCTGGCCCTGTCATGGGTAGCAAGGATCAGAGTTTGGCCAGAACAGGGCCGCTTCTCCAACAGGCCTTTAGAGGGTCCCAAGGCCCCGGTCCTGCCTTTCCGGCTCCTTTTCTTCGGAGCTCGGGCAGCCCCTAGGGATGGCAGGGTCTCCGGGGACACGAAGGCCTCAGCTTTGGGACAGTCAGCAGCAGAGGACAGTTTCTTACTACTCAGGAGTTTACCTTTTAGGGACCTGCTGGCAGCATTTCTGCACAACGGGTCAGCTCCTGGAGCTGCCGGTAGCATCTGCCCAGGGCCCATTCCTCCTAGGCCCTCTTCTGCCCCAGCTGGACTGCCCCCGGAACGTTTCTCGGGTAGGGCTGGGCTCCGGGGTGTCCCAGGAGGAGCCCCTGCCACTCTGCAGGCGAGTTTCTTGAGCCCAGGTGAGGTGATCTTCTGTACGATGGCCTCCAGCTTGAGGCCACGGCCCTTCCGGGGTGGCAGCACCTTGGTCCTCACAGCACTGGGCAGGGATGATGGTGTAGCCAACCCCATGCATGCAGCAGGTGGTTCCAGGGGTGGGGGTGGGGGTGGCTCCCCGCTGCCCCTGGGCCTGGCCCTCTGGGGTGAGGCCATCCTCCTCAGGAGGCCAGGAGAGCTCTCAGCCCTTTCCTCTCTCCCATCCAGTCCACTTCCGTTGCTGCTGCGCAGGATGAGGCTTCGCTTTTTGGTGGGGACGGGAGCCATGAACGCCGACTTCCTTTTGAGAGTGTGGAGAGGCCGATCTGAAAGCTTGCTCCCTGTCCCAGGCTTGGGGACTTTGACCCGCTGGCTCACCCGGCCTTCCTTCTGGGGCCCACTGGAGACCTTGAATGCGGTGGGTAAGTGGTTGTTGGCAGGGAGCTTCTTGGTGGCACGGCAGTCCGGGATCCGGCTCTCCGAGGGCCGCCGTCGTTTGGCATGGAAGACCTGCTGGGGTTTGGTGCGAGACCGGAGGACCATGGAACGCTGGTCCTTTCCAGGGATGCTGGGAGAGTCTGGCTCCTTGGTCTTGGAGCCCATGGGGCTGCTGTCCGAGGCAACAGGCAGGGCCGCAGGGTTGCTGGGGCTGGAGGCGGCCTTGGGCGATGGTTTGCCGACCCGCTTGCCGGACTTGAAGGCGGCGCGCTGTTTGCCACCCAGTTTGTCGGGAGGTGTGGGGGTGGTGGTCAGGCCTGGAGGCCCAGGAGTTTGGGGCTCACTCAGAGCTGTAAGGGAGCGAGTACACATTCTGGGGAGCCCTTCTGACAGCCCCCGGCCTGGGGCTCCAGCCCCTTCTGCCTGTCCCTGGGGGGGTCCCGTGCAGGACTCTGGGAGCAAGAGGTCTTTGGGAAGTGCTGGTACCCTGCACGGAGAGTCTTCAGCCTCAGGCAGCCCCCGGTGGACCCGCCGGCTCCGTAAACTTTTACCCCTCGGCACAGGCTCTTTCTTAGCAATGGGCACCTCAGGTACAGCAGGCTTGTTAGGCTTCGGGGCCAGGGAGCCTTCTGAAGTGGCGGAACTACCTGGGGCTCTCTCCATCTCTGGCCCATCTTCTCCTGGCTTCATATGTGACAGTGAAGACTCAAACCAGCTCTGGACCTTTGATTCAGCACCCACAGAGGGGCCCAGTAGGATAGCAGGCTCCCCAGAGAGGTGACATTGGGGGGCCCAGCCAGCCTTGGTGTCCAGCACCTCCTCTGCTTCCTCCTTGGTGCAAATCAGCGGGGCCTTGGGGGACAGTGGGTCCTGCAGGCTGGGCCTCTGCTCAGGGCTACCCAGCAGTTCACACAGGGAAGAGTACTCCTCTTCGGCCTCCAGGTCCTCCTTCCTGCCAGGCGGTGGCAACAGCGGCAGGTCCCCAAAGTCAGTGGAGGAACAGCAATGCCGGCTGTCCTCCAGCCACTGGTCAGCTTTGCCCACCTCAGGGCACTGCAGCAACCCACCCACTTCCTCCTTCACCCCATCTGCCTCCTGCTGCTTGAAGTCCCCAGACAGCACAGCTGCCGGCTTCCCGATGGCATGCTCTTCCTGGAAGCCCAAGCAGGCAGGGGTCTCGTGTACATCTGCTTTGCCGACATTGTCTGAGGCCTTTGCACCCTGCTCCAAGCCCTTGGTGAGCTCACCAGGGTGGAGGCCCCAGCGAGGACAAGCATCACCCAGATTCTCCTCTGGCCAGGCAAAGGGGTTGGCACTGTCCACAGAGCTGGCAGTGGTCGTGTCTGGAAAGCAGTCAAATGCTGCTGTGGTGGGGTCTGGAGTGGCAGCTCCAAGCAGAGGCTTGGTGACAAAGGACAGGGGACTGGTCGTCTTCTTCGGGTCAGTGGTGGCAAAGGCCACAGAAGGGTCTTCAAACAGCCCTGGGCTGAAGTCCTTGGTGCTGCCACCCTTGTCCAGCTGCAAAGGCTCGGGTAGGGTTTCTGGTTCCCCTGGCTGTGACCATGAAGTCTTGGCCACAGTGTCTAGGCAAGTGCTGTGGTTCCCCAGTGGGAAAGGTGACTTGCCATTGTCCTTGGGCAGGCTGGAAGCCTCAGCCCAGGCCTTGTCGGCCTTCTCAACGATGGCTTCCTGAAGCCCCAGGATCTCAGAGGCCAGATCTTCCTGTGCCAGGGCACTGAGCAGCAGCCGGGGGCAGTCTCGCTCGCCTGCCACAAATTTAGAGAAGCTGTCCAGTGGCAGAGTACTGTGCAGGCTCTGGAAAGAGTCGTCAGACTTGGTGGACATGTCGTCAGGTGAGGTCACAGAACAGGTGGACACAGACTCGGGCTTGGCCTTGGAGTTGTTGTTGACCCTGGCAGGACTGCCGCGGGCCTGGCTGCAGTAGAGGAAGCTGCGCTCTAGTGGGTCCTCAGAGCCGCTCAGGTAGTCAGTGTCCTGTGGCTCAGCATGAGTGGACTGTGGTGTGCTGCTCGGCGGCTCAGACAGTGGTGTGCCTGCCGGCTCAGCTGAGTAACCACTGCCCTCGGGGCTACAGTGCTGGTTCTTGTGCTGCTCCGGAGTCCTAGACACGAGGCTCTTGACCCCTTTCTTCTGGGGCATGGCAGCTTTGGACAGCAAGAGTTGCTGCACAGTATTGGAGATGTTTTCCACCTGTGAGGTGAGTGCTGTGAGGCTCTGCAGGCTGAGGTCCGACAGCAAGGTTTCGGGGAGCTTCTCCTTTTGCAGGGGCTTGCAGTTGCTGACCTGGGGGTCCACAGAACTGGCGGCATCCGTCGGTGAGGGATTGAGCAGGGGCATAAAGTGGCTGTGGTCTGTGATGCCTGTGGGGAAGGCCCCCGTACTAAGCGGCTGCTGGCTATAGGGGAAGTTCTCCAGGTTGGGCATCAGTGGTGACGGGGTGGAGCTATAGGAAGGAGAGCGACCCACAGAACGTGCAGGGGAGTGGCTGGAGCTAGGGCTGAAGGTCTGGTAATACTGTTCTGGAGTCCTGACAGCTGTGTCCGGTGGACAGTAGCCCTGGCCTTGCTGTCCATAGTGTTGGTACTTGGCGAGGTTCTGGTAGTGGAGAGTTTCCTGGGTGTGGTGCCGGCCTTGAAGTGCCTGCTGCTGCTGCTGCTCATAGCCAAGGCGGCCCGATTGGTAAGCGTGAAGACTCTGGACCCGCTGTCCTGGGGCCAGGCTCGCATTGGCACTCATCGGCCTGTCGTGAGGCTGGGCAGATGGTGCTGTGCAGCTCTTGTAGGAGTGGGCCCCCTGCCCACCGCCCTGCACTGCTGGGGCGTAGGTGGAGGCGGCAGGGAAGGACTGAGAATGCTGGGGGAAGTGGGTGCTCTGGGGGAAGGGCAGAGGGGAGGCAAGGTCATTCTGTGGTTTCTGCCTTTGGAGTTTGGGGTAAGCCAGGGGCTGCTGAGGCTGTGGTGGGGGGGCATGCAGGCTGTGAGTCCGGAAGGGAAGTTGGGGACCCTGCTCAGGGTACTGCCTGTTTGGGGGCACCACCGTCTTCTTCATCAAGTTCTCCTCATACTTGCTCACTGCCCCTGGCAGGGGCTGCGGTTGGGGAGGTGGTGGCTGTGGGCCCCCCCAGGTCTGAAGACCCTCCTCGCCAGAGTAGCGCCCTGGGTAGGGGCTGCTGTCTTGAACATAGCCGGGGAAAGCCGGCCTCCCCTGCAGGGACTTGCTGCCTCGGTGGTACTTGTCTGCAGCTGTCGTGGCCACTGTCCCAGGTGGGCCGGCACCACCCTCGTAGCCTGGATAGGGCTGTGGGTTGTAATAGTCCTTGGCCAGCAGCCGCTGCCGATCACAGCTGAGCCCAGCCTGACCTGGCTGCCTGTAGTTCTCCAGGCGCGATGTCTCCTGTGAGGTTGGTGGGTAGTTTTGCTGTTTGCCATGGAAACCACACCTTTCTCGAAAAGACTGCATGACTCGGGCCGGTTATCTGGGAAGAGAAGGGGTGGTGCAGAGGGAAAACAATTCAGATGGGCCATGTTCCACTCTCTGCCTCAGCCAGCACCCCTCCCGGCCACCTTCCCACCAGCTGTGCACATATCGACAGCCTCTGGGTCTGGGAGATGTGCTCCGAAATTCTGCTTCCACGGTGCCTGCAGCTGGGTCGTGCTAAGGAGGACTGCCACGGACATGAACAGTCCAACAGAGCTACACAGACAAGTCACAGGAACGACCCCCCCCCCCAGACTCCTCCTGCCAGCTCCTCCCTCCAACCCTTGTCTGCACCACCACGCCTAGCCCTCACAGACAGTTCAAATTAGCAGAGTAATTCCACTCTGTCCCCTGGGGTCCAACTGGATCCCATACTCTTAGTCTGTGAGTGGACATACTTAAGCATGACCCACACACCAGGTACTCATGAGGACCTCCCCAATCGGGGAGAGCCGCTCGCAAGGCCTGCTATGACCGCACATACAGGAATCCACACATGTACAAAGGACCTATCAGGCACACGTACACGCACGCTCACACACACCTCCCCTGCAGTGCCATCTGGACTCTGTCCCTTCTGGCAGATGTTGACTGGGGGCTGCTAAGACAACTGTCCACATAAAGCACTCCCTCCTCTGACTCCTGGGAATGAAGGATGGTAGCACCTGCCTCCTGTTCTTCGTATCATAGGTGCATAAACAGATTATGTAGTCCAGAGTGTGGGGACGCATACTAATAGGGGACAGAGACGCAGTCCCCTGGCCCCTGGAGAGCACACTACCCTGCCTCTTCTCTGTCCTCTCCTGCCGAGCTGCTCCTAACTTTCACAGGCCAGGGCTGGTGCAGGCAGCCCCAATCTGGGACAGGGGCAGGCAGTGTCTGATCTACCAGGAGGGCAGGTGCTTTTGTGGACAGAGTCACAACACAGGCTTGTGTACCTCTGCTGGCTTCCTTCAACTGACTGGCTTGGTTACCCCAGAAAATCCTCAGTGGTGGAAGAGGGAAATGCCCCCAAGCTTTGGAGAAATCACAAAGGGGGCCAGCTAGTGAGCCTGCGCCCCACATGTTAGGGTTTACCCAGGCCACCACACAGGCTCAAAGCAGGAGGTACAAGATCTCTGGGACTAAGTGGCTCAAGTCCCCAGGAGGGAACTGGGACTTTCCAGTTCTTGTTCCAAAACACACTAAGATGGAGGTGTGGCCTGACTTAGACCACAAAGGTTTCAGGGGGTTTTGTTTGTTTGTTGAGAAGTCAATGTGGGGGTGGAGAGAGGTAGGAATGGAGGGGCTGCACTGGCGGGGAGATCCAGCCTCCCTTCAGTCTGGATCCCACAAAGGTGCCTTCCTTTCTTTGTCTTAGAACTGACCCAGGGAAGGGAGCAGAAGAGCTCTATCCAGAGGAACAGGGCATGCCCAGGCATCCAGATAAGCCCAGAGCTCACAGCAGGGGGCCTGACCCAGCTGCCCCTAAAACAACTTTCCCCCTCCCCAGCTTGTCAAAGCCTTCTGCCTGCCCCACCCCAGCTCATTACCTCCATCTCTAACCCTTCACTAAGACAGGGCCCACCTACCCTTAGGATCTACTTCACTCCAGTCCTCGTGGTTTGGATGAAACACCCCAGGCTGTGCTAATCCAGAGGGGCTGGAGGCAGTATCTATTCAGGTGGGCGGCCTGGTGCCTCCTGCCCCCACCTTCCCAGAGCAGAGCACACTCCGGATGTAGGTGGATGTCACCTCTGCTCACGACTGCTGGTGGGCCACTTCTAAGACCAGGACACAGAATGCCAGTTCCCTGTTCTCCCTGGCTGTGTGTTTATATGTACAAACCCATACTGCTCTGAAGGCTACATCTGCCTCCCTCATATATCTGCACAAATTACATTTCGGTTTTTATTAGTCCCAGATCACTCTCATTTCCTGCTGAGTGTCCTGTAGATATCATTAACATTTCTACGGCTGGAGTGGGGTGTGTGTGTGTGTGTGTGTGTGTGTGTGTGTGTGTGTGTGTCCCTACACCCCCACCGCCACATTCCCAAAATGCATTACCAGAGACATTATCTAAAAAGAGGGGGAGCCATGAACAGTGTCCCCTCCCTGCCTGCTCTGTCCCTGCCCCATCTAATCAGTCCAGCTGCTGCGCCTTTTAATTTCCCCACACAGGACTACAGGCTGGCTTCCTGATGCACACAGGCAGCTGGATGTGGAAGGCATCTATCTCTAAGAAAAGACAGTTCAATTAAAATCCCAGAGGCCCAGTGCCTGTTGGAGGACACAGGCAGAAACATGTGCCCCAGCACCACCCTCCAACCCTGGCAGAGGGAGGGACAGAAACAAAGGCTCAGGCACGGTGGCATCCTAGCTGCCAGCTTGGAGCTGCAGAGGTCCTGCTGGCTCTGCCATGAGAAAATAGGGTGCTGCCTCTTTAAGAGCCACCTCAGGCTTGCAGTGGGCTCTGTTGTTATTAATTATTGTGATTATGATTATTTTTCAAGAGCATCAGGAAAGGACATGGAAGGGATGAGAGGCAGATAGCAAAGGGCCGGGGTGGGCAGCATCAGAGAGCAGATGGAAGAACAAATTCCCCCACAGGTGATGGTGACCTTTCAACATGGAGGAAGCAGCAGCCGAGGTGGCTGGACTAGCAGCAGTAAGGGTTGGGAAAGGGAATCTTGCCCCAGCTTCTTTCCCTCCCCCTTCTCCTGGGAACGTGCCAAGACTTTCCCTCAGCCATTCTGGCAGAATCTGGCAGGCAGCTGATGGGAATCCAGAGCAACCCTCTTTGGCCCTAGGGACATGAATACTCCAACCTTGTAACCACTGGTTACTCCAGACACTGGAGAGAACACACCAGGCCCCACGAGACCAGATCTCAAGATCTTTGTGGAACTGGACGGTGCTTAGAGTCTGGACAACTTCCTCGGACAGAGCAGCAGTCCCGGCCACAAGGCATCAGCACAGCCATGAAACTGTGCTGAAGGCTGGCAAGGTTGTGCCTCGGGCATTGCCCTTCTGCTAAAGACTCTAGGAGGGGGGCCTGGCCACCGACCTTGTCCCTTTTATAACTAAAGGTAAGGTTCAGAGGGGCTAAGGACTTGCTAGTGACCCTGGCTTAACAGTGGAGATCAAACCCCTCTCTTAGACACCACACCAGAAATGCCCACCCTGAAAGAGTGTGTCTTGGTACAGACAGCAAGAAAGCTGAGCTGAGTTCAGGCCAGCTGATATATGCACAGGCACCCACCCGCCTACATGTCCTTCTACAGCAGGCCAGACCCAGCCTGCAAGCCTGACTCTGTATTTCTGTGGTGCTAGGGACAAACCCAGGACCTTTAGCTTGCTAAGCAAAGTCTAAACTGAGCTGTACCCTAAATTCCAAGAAGCAAACCTACCTATAGTATCTGGCCAGCCTCCAGTCATTAGTCCAGAGCCTCTTCAGGCCCGAGGGTTGGCCCCATCAGTAAGAGGGGTATTCTGTGGGCCAGAGCTGCTATTGCTCCCAGTCTGCCCTGTGGCAATGTTATCCTGAGGAAAAGAGGAAGAAAGGTGGAGAGAGGGGTAGGAAGAGGCATGTCCCCCTTCACTGGCAGCCCCCAGCCACTGGCCTTCCCACCTACCTATAGCTGATTTATGACCTGACTGGTAGTTGCAGGGAAAACGGAAAGCCTAACCCCCTTGGAGGCAGAGAAGGGACAGATGTTCGGGGAGCAATGGAGAGGTGAGACCCCTAGGGCCTCCCTATCTGTTTCAGATGAATACTAAATGTAAGACTTGGGGGCTGGGGGACGGCTCAGGGGGCACGAGAGCTTGCTGTGTAAGCAGGAGGACCTGAGCTGGAAATCCCAGCACCATGCAAAAGCTGGGCATAGCTGTGTGAGTCTGTAACCCCAGTAGCAAGGGGGAGGGGAAGAAGAGGGGAGAAACAGGTGTAGTCTGGTCTTGCTAGCTACCTAGTCAGGGCCAGTGAGACTGCCTTAAGGAAATAGGGTGAAAAGCCGTAGAGGAAGGCACTGGAGGTCCTCTTCCACATGCTTCCACAAGAGAGCCCTCATCCATGTACACACACAAAATAATAATAAATATGTGGCCTGAGTGAGCCCTGAATCCTCAAGCCATTCCCAGCTGTTTTGGAGGTCTTTGTCTTTTTTTTTTTTTTTTTTTTTTTTTTCTTTGCCAGTCTTTATGGCCAGGCTTGCCTGGGAGGCAGGGATGAATCTCCATGGAACCCACAAGAACAGTCAGATACCACAGGCCTTGAGACTAGGCTAGACTCCTTGGGCTAGGGGCTAGCATCAGGAAGGAACTGATGGACCTGCTTAGGGCAGGGGTGGTAGTGGTGATAAGGCAGCTCTACCCCAAAGCAGTCTCTCAAGACTACCCCATGCTGGCAACACCTTTTTTACAGTCCCCCAGAAAGAGTCTGGGGTCTTGAGTAGCCAGAAGCAGGCAGAGAAGTAGGAAGTAGAAGACAGTGTCTAGTATGCGGTCAGCATCCCCATCACTGAAACAGAAAATTAGCAGGGTGTAGTGGTATAAACCTGTGATCTCAGCACATGGAATCTGAAGCAAGAGGATCAAATCGCAAGTTCAGGACCAGTAAGGCAGGTTAGGTGTAGAGCTCGGTGGTATAGCTAGCATTCCTGAGGCCTGAAGTTCAATTACCAGCACTGTAACAAGCCAGCCTGGGCAACACAGCAAAACTAACTTTAAAAAAAAAAAAAAAGATGGAGCCGGGTGATGATGGCGGCGGCGCACACCTTTAATCCCAGCACTCGGAGGTAGAGGCAGGTGGATCTGTGAGTTCGAGGCCAACCTGGTCTATAGACTGAGTTCCAGGACAGCCAGGGCTAACCACACACACACACACACACACACACACACACACACAAAAGATGGCCTCAAAGATGCTGGAGACTTCATAAGAGGCTGAATCTGAGTTCTCTGGAGGATGTTTGAGAACCCCCTTCCAACTCATATTTCCTGCTATGCTGAGGGAATGGAGTGGGTTCTAACACCATGCCCATAGGTCCTGTACCTGTTCTTTCTTAGACACAGCCCTACGGTGTCTTTAACTAGGATGCATTGGATCCCAGGCTGGATGCCCTCAGCAGCAGGGACCCAGAGTCCAGCCGACCCTGTGCCCGCCGTCAGGGCTGGCCTGTCCGTAGCACCTCAGCTGTGATCGCTTCATCAGTCTCCTGTGGATGCTTTGTTTGGGGTCACTTTATTTACCACTCAACAAAAGCCATCACCACCCATCTGTCCAAACAGAGAAACAGAAAAGGCATGGGGGGGGGGGTCAACTACGAAGAAGGCAGGGCCTTCCCCATCACGTTCAGCTCAAGCTAGCCTGACCTCACTGATGCCACCCACAGTCAGGGTTCGAAGACTAGATGTTCAGGGGTCTGGCTAGAGATAGTGCTTTTCCATCCAGTATCTAGAGTAACCAGGGAGTTTCCGGGCTGCTTGGGTTGGTCCACATTCCAAGCCCCAGCAGTACCCATCCTTACAGAAGGCTGAAACTGATCAGTACAGCCTTGTCCTCTCCACTTCATGTGCCCAGAAGGACCAGGACTTGGCAAAGAGGTGCCAAGCCAGTAGCAAGCTGTCTAAATGCCAACAGGGTTCTGACCTTGGGCAAGCCTTTCACCTCCATGGGCCTCAAGTCCTTTGTGCCGGCCGTCCCCTTGGCTAGGAAAACCATTCCTGGACATCTATACAACTCTCTACCCAGCTCCACACCTTTACTTCTGTGTCATCACCATATTTTCAATGATACCCCTGTGCCTCCTCGTATTTCTCAAAGCACTTACCCGTTTGCCTTAACTTATTACTAGCCTCCTCTCAAACGAAAAGTTCCATGGAGCAGGGATTTCTGCCTATTTTATTCATGCCATGTCCCCATTGCCCAGAACAATAAATATGTATTAAATGAATCATGCTTCAAATGTCACATTAACCCTGTGAAAACAATCCAGAGTAAGTGGTCAGGTGATGAGACACAGCATATTTGGGTGGGGGCTGGCAGGCATGGGCTAGGGCCACAGCTCTGCTTCATTCATTAGACACTGACCCTTTCTTAAGGATGGACAGAGAATCCACTTTGGAGCAAAGTATTAGGTAGGGGTTTGGAGACAGGCTGTACATCTCAGTCCCAAGCACGGGGTGGGGATGGGGGATGGGATGGGCATAGAACAGTCTTTTCTTCCTGTAACAGGTCACAAGTCAGGTATGTACAGTATGAGATGCCTTTCGTTTTCAAAAATGTTACCAGGGCTGGCTAGATAGGATGGCTTAGTGACCGAGTTCAATCACTGGAACCCACAATAGAACCAGCTCCAGAAAATTGTTCTTTTACACACACACACACACACACACACACACACACACACACACAAACAAAAAAAAAAAACCTATCAACCAAGTCTCAAGGGTTTTTATTGTCGTTATTCAAGCAGTGCAGAGTTCAGGAAGACTGCCCATCTGTGGGCTTTCACTTGACCGTCAGCAGAGTCAAATACTGGGGAGGCCGACACCCACGCAGCTTAGCTCTTGTTGGGCTGCGAACTTAGGTATTCAATGCAACAAGGAGCACCCATAATGTTTTCTGGATCCAGAGCAGGCCTTGGGAGTGGCATGGCCCAGGCAAACGAAGGTGGGTGGCCTGGGTGCAGCAAGGGCTTAAGAGCTACAGAGGTAGGGCTGAGGCCCCACGCTGCTTGTGGAGGTAGTGTAGGAAGTGGCCCTGGTAACATTCCACAGGAGACAGGTGAGGCCCCACCCCTCCCCCCTCCTGGGACCCCTGCCAGGCTCCCATGTGGGGCTCCTGACAGCAGTAATTACATAATTAATGGCACAATGAGCTGCCTCCTAAGGGTAAGAGCCTGAAGGTAGGGGCAGTCTGCATTTTGCTCTTAAGCTCCCAAACCCTACTCTGGCCCTAGAGTTGTGCCTATAAATACTGTGACGAAGTGGGATGGAGGGACACTCCTGGCTTTGTGTTTATCATATTATTTTGTCTTCAGCCTCAGGGGATGAGGCCCAGAGAGCAGTTTCAGGAAGAGGTGAGGGGTGGGCAGGACACAAACAGCAGCTAACTAGGAAGGCACAGCAGTGAAGTTGGCATTCTCTCTGCGGCCTTTAGTGTTGGTGCCCACTGGCTCTTGGAGCCCATTTTGAATCAGCAAAGGTCCAGGTGGGGATGAGCAGAGCGTGAAGTTCCAGGGGGTGTACAGAGCTTCTGTAGTCTAAGGCACGGGGAGCTGTTGCTGAAGGACACCCAGGGGCAGGAAGGGGAAGGAGGGGAAGGAAGTGGCTGCCCTCCAGAAGGTGCTGGGAGGCAGCAAACAGCAAGGTGGCTTCCAGGAGCAGCTACCTCCTACAGCAGCTACTGCCTACCTCAATCCAGTTCTGAGTTCAGCTGCTTATAGCCAGTGGTCAATGTACCCTGTTTCCAGGGTACTGGTCCCTGGTGCTTCCATGGCAGCTCTTCTTATGTGACCATGGGGATTCTAGGTCTGCTATCCCAGCAGCAGCAGCAGAGGGGTCTCTGGCTCATTATAGACAGTGCTGTCTTTAACCTCCTGGGAAGACAGTATCGGCATGGGAAAGCAACCAGCCCCCAGGAACAGGGCACATTCTTCCTCAACATTCCAATCCCAAACTCGCAGAGAGGGTCAGTGACTTGTCCACCAGGCTCAGCAGCTGTGTGCCCCAGATGCCTCTCTGTCAAACAGAAACAGAGAACATGGCTTTCCTTCTCTATACCCCAGCAAGGAAAGATCTTGTTGCCTCCCGGAGCCTGGGTGGAACCTCCCCTGCTGCCTGCCCCAAGGGCTTCTCACTGCAGCGTGTTGACAGCACGGGAGGTGCGGCCCTGGCCCCCTCCCCGTGCCGGTTCCATATGGGGGAGCCGGGCACTGGAGCCCCCTCCTGCACCGGCCCCCAGGGGAGGAAGCCGCCTGTCAGGCCGCCTCGGCGTGTCAAATCCTCTTGCTGCCTAATTGTGAGACGGCGGCGTTTAAAGAAACGCTTTTCTGGCCGCCTGCCACACCGCAAACTGCTTGGTATAATTTTATTATTAAGCAGAGAGAAAAAGAGAAGGGGCTGGGGGAGAGAGAAAGGGGAGAGCAGAGGAAATTGCTTCGTCCAAGTCAGCTGGTGGAGTATTCCGCTCAATGTGAAAGCGGGGGACAGCTTTCCAGTTGGCAAGCTGACTCCGTTAATTGCGCATTCAGTCTCTACTTAGGGTAATTGGAACGAAGCGGGGCCTAGCTCTGACAATTAGGGTCTGCGACTAGGCCATTAACCCTTTCCGCAACCAGCCCCCGCCCCATCGACAGCAGGCGGGGTAGGGCGCGGGCGAGGACCCCACACTGAGGTGCGGGCGGCAGCACGGAGCTGGCTGGGGAGCCGCGCGGAGGGCGGGGTCTGCGGCCTCTCCGCCACTGCTACAGATGTTTCGGCCATGTAAGACAAAGGCAGAGCGCGGCCGTCGCCGGGAGAAAATCCGCAGGACTCCCTCAGGGGCAGGTAAAATTTCACCTTCCATTGGTACTCCCCTCCCCCTCCTCGTCTCCCCGGCCTTCCGCCAATCCGGATAGGGCCACCAAAGACGCCGCGACGCCTCCTCCACAGCCCAACCCACTGACCCCAGCAAGGTCACGGCGACCTCCGGCACACCCGCCCGTCCTCCGCCAGCGATCCGCCGGGGCTGTGGGCGCCCGGAGAGGAAGGGGGCGCTGCGCTTGCCATGAGGCAGAGGCAGCCAGGATGCTCCCCGCCTCCCTCCCGCCTGCACCCGGACCTGGGGGCGGCCCCCCAGCCTCCATCATTCATTTTCCTGATTCCCGCTGTAGCCGCCCTCGGAAGTCAGCCGAGTGAAGCAGCTGTTCCTTGCACACTCCACTTGACCAAAGATGATGATAAATGAGGCCAGGGCTGCGTCAGGGACGCGGCGGCGAGGGCCGTGCAGGGCGGGGCGTGGGGCCCGCAGCCCCCGCACTCCGCTCGGCTAAGTGCGCGCCCGCAAAGGACAGCGTCCGAGCGCCCCCCGCCCGGCACACCTTCCCGAAGGTCCGCACCCTTCCTCGAACGCGGGGGTCCCCGTGGCGTCCTCGCATCCTCCCACAGCATGCGCGCCCCAAACCTATTAATGCTCGTAAATAATGAATAAAGGAGCGCTTCCTACAGCCGCGGTGGGTGCGGGCGGGGCGGCAGCCAGAAGCTCGAGGATGGGGAGAGCGCCGCGGGCCGGGCCGGGCCGAGGGGCCCGGGCGCGCGGCCCCGCACACGTGCAGCCGTGGCGTGCAGGCGGCACCCCGCCCGGCGGCGGAGGAGGGGAATCCCGCGCTGCCCTCCCCAACGCCACCTCCCCTGGAGTCCTCTGGCACCGAACGAGGCGAGAGAGTGAGCGCGAGCTTCCCAGCCGAAGAGGGTTATTTTTAACCTGCCCCCCTTTCTATATCTGCCTCGGCGGTGCGCGCCCGCCCGCCCGCTCCAGCAGCCGAGGACGCGGGCTCCTCACCTCGCTCGCAGGCTCCGGACTCCGCGCCTCCCCCGGCCCGGCCCCCGCCCTTGCGCGGGCAGAGCGCCGCTACATCTCAGCCTGGAAAGGGCCGATTAGGAGCCGCGTGCCTTTCAGCTAAATATCGGAACCGGGTGGGATGGGGGCGGGGAGCCGGCGCTCGTCCCCTCGCCTCCCTCGCTCCCTCCCACCCTGCGCGGAGTGGCGGTGCGAGGCGGCTCCAGCTCCCCGCCAGCCTGAAACAGCCGGCCCGACTACCGAGTCCCCCTGGGGTTCTCGGCCTGGTCTCAACATCCTCTAGTTCGCAGAAGCTGGAGCTCCCAAAGCACGGACCCTCAGGCAGCAGCGGCGCCAAGCGAGGCGCTGCCACCCCCACCGCCAGTCCCCTTCCCTGTGCCACTAGACAAATAAGCCATTTGGACAGCAGTGGGCTGGTCTTGCCGGAAACTTCAAAGCAAGACCCTTCCCGAGCCAGGGTCTAGGGAAATGCCAGGAGCACACAGGAAGCTCTAGCGATTGCTTTACGCCCTCTTGTTGGTCTGCCTAGGCTCGCCCCAGGGAGAACCCTAGCTTGGCTCCCCTCTTTCAGACCTTTCTTCCCTCAGAATGAGGTCGCAGGAAGTTCGCGTCCGTTGTGGTTGCCCTTCTCCCCCCAAGGCCACCCACCTAAACCTCATTCTGCCCTCTTTAGAAGAGCTGAGCACCAGATGGGCAGCCGAGTCAGAGCCAGCATTTGACTGGGTCCCTCAAATACCCTGGCGTTTTCCGGACTGTTCCTAGCCCAATCCAGGAGTCTCAGGATTTGGGGTCTCAGGAGCCCTCCCTCTTTAAGAAGAAGGCAGTTAACGGCGGCGGCGGCAGCGAGGAGGGAAAGTGGAGGAAGTGGCCAGGCTCAGAAACCATGACATTAGCACAGCAGTTCTCAACGTGTGGGTCACGACCCTTTCACGGGTCGCCTAAGACCATTGGAAAACACAGATATTTACATTATGATTCATAACAGTTACAAAATTAGTTATGAAGTAGCAATGAAAATAACTTTATGGCTGGGGGGGTTCACCACAACTTGAGGAACTGTGTTAAAGGGTCGCAGCATTAGGAAGGTTGAGAACCACTGGTTTAGCAGCAGAAAAGAACACAGCCTATTTGGGCACTGGAGACTGTTCTCTTGAGGCTTGACTGGACTAGATGGGGGGAAAAAAAGGCCTCAAGGGGCCGGGGTTTGGGCTAAGTTCATCCTCAAGAGTAACTGGAGGGCTAATAGTAGCATGCAGATCAGTAAGAGGCCTAGCAGGCCCGCGGTTGACACCCTGGGGTGGCTGTGACTCCTAGGGTGGCTGTGACATACTTGGGCCAGGGCTTTAGCTGGGAGGGACCTGGAAGCCAGGCCGGTTAGGAGGGAGAAGAGGACTGGTACCTAAGCAGAAACAAGGTACTAGGGGATGGTATACATTGGGCTCTGCCCTCCTTCAGTTCTGGAAAGTTCTTCCCATCTCTCTATTGAACCCTGCTCCCCACCAGAGGCTGATCTTGTTTGAAGAGATGGCCTGATGCCTCCAGAGGTTTTGCTTTTAACCTCAACTCTCCTTCCCAAGGTGTAATGTCACTTCTCATTTCCAGAAGTGGAAATGGTGCCAAAGAACAGAAAGGTTGTTCTAGACTCTACTCTTTGGTGGCCCCGAGGGCAGGGTTCTAAGCTGGGCTTCTGGCTGGGATGAAGAGTGGTTCCTGAGGGTAAAAACAAATGAATGGGCATAAAATTTCAGAACACTGGTCTGCCAGCAGGGGAGGGGAGGGACGGGGACTAGAGCGAAGTGCACATGGCCAACCCACTCTGTCAGGGCTTCTTGGCATGAGACTGAATTCTACAGATCTTACTCACCTGAAGACTATGAATCTCAGTGACCCAGAGCATACTCCTCCAAATACGCACGCTGTTGTGATAAATTTCAAATTCTTTTAGGGCTGAATGTTCCTATGCAGTGCTACTGTCCCAACAGTCTCGACGAATGCTCTGATTTTGATCTAAGGGTCCTCAAGGTGGGGAAGTGCTGGACGGGCAGCTGCTCTCCCCACAGGAAAAGGAGAACTTCAGCTGTGCCATGCTGGTGGCTGCTGACAACCAGCCCCAGTGAGAGGGAGCTGGCAGCCTCTGTGCTAGGGGCAACCTGGGGAAACTTCCTGGGGACCCTTGGGGACATTCCTGAGTCCAAGTGGAAAGCTGGCCGATTACCTTCTCCAAACAGCTATGAAATGGGAAGGTACTTAAGAGAAAACACGAACTCTGGGCAGCTGAGTCCAGCATCCAGCTGTTTTGAACACTGGCCTTGTTTCAGTGACCACAATACCTGTGTGCTGGTTCTGTGCCCTGTGTGCTGGTTCTGTACCCAGGCCCAGGCCCACTTGGACCTTGCCTCTGAGTGTATCCAACCTTCCAGAACGCTCTCCCTGGCTTTCAGACCACCACTATTGGGGAGGGCCCTTTTTCAGCTGCACACAGCTAAGCTGGCCTGCCCCACAGCTGCCTCACTTTAGAACCTTGTGGGAGAAACCATAACTGGTAGAGAATGGCAGACTGGATCTACTCCTGAGGGGCTCCAAAGGTTAAAGCAGCCAGGGTACTAGAAAGCTCATGGGGCTTGGGGTTGAGTGAGAGATGCAATCTCTCCATATCCTCCATGATGAAGCCCTGACAGTAAGTGGCTGAGGGTTCAAATCCCAGCTCTTGCACGCATACCTAGGTAACCTTGGGCACTTTACTTAACTGCTCCATGTTTCATGCTCTTGAGTTGTAGAACATTCTAGGCATCCAACTGGCAGAGCTATTGTAAGACTGCACCCCTGAGGGGCGCTGGATTTGGACTCTTTCCAGTCATTCCTGCCCTTCCCTTCACAGATAGACTCGGCTCTGGGGGTGTTCATCAGGACATCACTCACTTGGTTTTCTGAGCATGAAGGAAATAGGCACTGTGCTGCCTCTGCCTGGCTGGTGAGACATGGAAGAGAGGGGAGCCCTGTCCAGATGGGGATGAACAGGTTAACTAGTTCTACCTCAATGAAATACCTTCTGGCAATATGGATCCAAATAAAAACTCCATGTGGCCACTGTCCCAGCCCAAAGTCATCTGTGCGAATTCAGTCACCTGTAGCAGAAAGCACTGGAGTCCCCTACAAAGTGTCCAGCCAAGAAATTAAAACAATGGGAGTAAAACTGGAAGAAAACCAGAACTGCTTATATGAGTGAAGCTTCATCTTTTGGGCTTCTGGCTACCTGCCTCTACCTCAGCATGACTAGATGGAAACAGGCTGCCTAGCGGTTACAACTTCCTATACCCTGTACTCTCTTTGGTACAAAGTATACTAAGGCCCCCATAGGGTATAGAGTTGGGCCTGATCACTGTCTACACAGATCTTCCTAGGTGGGCAGCTGCCACCCGGGCAGTCAGGACCCCAAGGCTGGTGTTCAAAGGCACTCTTAGGTTTTGTGTGTCCTTCCTCTCCCTTCTGTGTGGCCCAGCAATACACTCTCTGGTAATCTTTCCAACAAAACATGTAAAATGTACAACCAGATGCTATCCAGGGTTTGTGAATCCAAAGGCTAGGAACTGTGAGAACTACTGGAAATAAGGGACCAGATCCTACCCCTAACCTGAGCTGTGGGGCCCTGTGCAAGTAGAGATCAAAAGAGATCATATGAACAGAACTGTCAGAGCAGCCTTGAGTAGACCCGGGACCTATCCATCCTTTTAAAAGGTAAATATTGACATACTTTTTATAGCAGAGGCAAAGGGCTGGAAATCCCAACTGGTCTTTGCTGGCTGCAAAGGTGTGGCCAGGAAGACAGGAACTCCTGGGAGTCACATAAGCCTGACTCCATCCTCCCACTAGCTGGCTACTGTTAAGGTGGCCGGACACTCCGTTTGGGCACACAGGCCTCGTGGCAGTGGCCTGAGCAAGGTCTTGGTACAAGCGTCAACTCTGGGCAGAACTGACCTGACAGACTGGCTAGAGGCCCTGCGTCTGCTGGCCGGTGGAAGGTTTTGGATAGCTTGCTGTGGTCTAGAGCTAGCTTCTTCCAGAGCGTCCTCACAAGTCTTTGGAAACAAAGAGCAAGTACCCAAGACCCTGGGGCTGACTGGCTCTGTGACCTCAGAGTCATCCCTCTCTGGGCCTGTGATTCCTCGTCCTTTAAGTAGGGACAGCACTTAAACATCCACCTCCCAGGACTGTGGGAGCCCACTAAGAAAAAGAAAGACCTTGTTACCATCACACTATGACCAATCTCACTGACCTTCCAGGCACTGGCCTCTGTTCTAAGCATCAGTCACATTTTTGTCTACACATACTTTTGCAGACAAGGCACAGAAAAAGGCTTAGGGCATTTGTGTATTCCATCAAAGATCTAACAGCATTATATAAACCATGCTGGGGTGCTGAGGTTGGCCCAGAGGCAGAACCAGGGCATAAGACTCTATATGTAGTTGGGGTGTAAGTTCCATGTTTTCTGGGTGTGACTGCCACAATGTTTTCATCTCCAGAGAAACCACAAGGAACACAAGCACCCTACCTTATAGAGAACACAATTAAATCCAGAGAGGCCCAAAGTCTTGGGAACAGCAAGACTTGGGTTTACAATTGAAGTCTGGCCCCAACTCTCTAGTCAGGGCAGGGACACTGGGCAGGACCTTCAGAAAAGGAAGGTCCTTTTAGGGCTGCAGCGGCTCCATTCAAGCTAACATGTTCATTTTCCGACACACCTGACCCACTGTCTTCATGCCAGCTACAGGAGCTAACAGACCATTTTACACACGGAGAACTCAAGGCTCACTGAAGACAGAGACTTGCCCAAGGCTCTGAAGCTTACTTCCTGGGACCTCTGAGCTTTCCAATAGACCATACAGCCCCTTCATCCACTCTGACACCTACCCATTCATTCATTTATTCTCCACTCATCCATTTCCCATCATCCACCTGTTTACCACCCACCTGCCCATCCACCAATCTGTCCAACTATCCTTCCACCTCAGGAACAGTTCCCAAGTGTCTACTCTATGCCACCCAGGTGCCAGGACAAAGCAGCCGGAGACAGCAAAAGATCAATACCCTTGGAGAAGACAGCTGAGTGCCGATGCACAGACAAAGGCTGGACTTACACCTGGGAGGGATACAGGATCAGAGAAAGAACCCAGAGGAAGTCCTGAGTCTTAAGGGATATGCAGGAGTTACTGAGGGGATGGGAAAGGCCCAGTGAGGCAGAGAGGCACGGTCTGAAAATGTGGGCTCATAAGTTGGATGTGGAAATGAGAAAGGTAGGACCCAGATCACAAATGTGCTAAGTGACAGTGAGCCACAGAACACAAACAAGAGCAGGGTGACACCATCAGATAAACATATTAAATAATAGAGGTCAGTTAGGATGAGGCTGGATTATCTCCTAGAGAGCAGTGATAGGGTCAGACCACTAACTTGTCAATGCAAGTCCTTGACTCAAGTCTGACTTAAACGCTTGGTGTGCCAGAACCAGGGAGGACCAATACTTAGAGGTAACCAGTGCAAGTCTGAAGCCCAGAGGACAAAGGGGTCCCACAGCAGGGGACTCAAAGCCTACCAAACCCTCATGTACATCTCACCAGCCCTGCTAAAGAGGGTGATCTCTGAGGCCTGCCTGGTGGTGGCCACCCCCCTCAAGCGTCCTCTCTGACCTCACCGGGAGTCAACAGGAGGGTGAGCCACTCCTAGTACAGGGTGATGGAAGGCAGGTTCTGGGACATAAAGGAATGAAGGTCCCTTAGATGATGGACAGCTATGTGCGCCAGCCCTCTGGGAAGCTTTAAGGATAGATAAGCCCCAGCTATGCTGTGAAGGAAGGGTATCCCCAAGTGATGGCTGTGGACCCATGCAAAGGTAAATGGAGAACTGAAAATGCCACATATCCTCTGTGGAGGCCCTGCATGTTTGGTACCCTCCTCTTCGGATATGCTTGTCTTCCTTACATACTAGATGGGCTCCAGGTGCACACAGCCTCCAGGGCTCCTTGTCCATTTTCCCCTCACAACCTTCAGAACCTCCACCAACAAAAGATTCCCTCCCGCAAAACTGCATTTAGAGATGCCCACTTGCGGTCCTAAGAGATTCAAAAGCAGAGATCAGGCTTCTGATGGCCATGTGTGAGTTGGGACAGAAGGGAATCAGGCTGTGGAGGGCCTTATGTTTGTCAAATGAATGAGTGGATAGGTAGATGGATGAAGTTCCACCCTCGAGCAAAGCCATCAATAGTTTTCTTAGCCTGTGAAAAACATGATTCCCTAAAGTTTTTAAGAACACTCCAGATAGTTCCCAGACCCTCATCTTGGTGCCTGGGCTGAGGAACTCAAGAGGGGCCCGAGAACCCCCAGGCTAGGCTCCTGTCTGCATGTTAGGTACTCCAAAGACCCTCTTCAGAACCGTGTTCTCACTTGGGACAACACCAGGAATCCCTTCTGCAACCTGGGAGTGTCAAAGACTCGGACCTTTGGGAGCTTCCTCTGCACAGGCAGAGGAGCATGCCTACTCATAGGCTAGTATCTCTGCAGCTTGGGAGAGCAGTGTTTGTCATCTGCTGTGGACTATGGGGATGGTTTAAGATGAAATTTAAGCCCATTAGTGCTTAGCTAACGTCATCAGCAACAGCAGCAAAAATGAAGATGGCAGGGTGTGTGAGCACCATAAACTGTCAGGGTCAGCACCGCCTCCCTCCTTAGCCCTGGCTCCCACCCTCTGCAAGCTGGGCTGGGTACCCTTTCCACTCAGACATCCAATATCACTGGCAGCTCTGCCCCCTGCCCTGGCCAATCCTTGAGATCCAGCCTCTGGGTCAGCATGTGACCAGAGCCTGTGACCAGAGCCGGCAGGCTGAGGCATAAGAAAGGAATCTGCCAGGGAGCCTGGGTATGGCAGAGACAGCAGCTCCTTAATCTGGTTCCTTTGATAACTTCTGTCTTTTTATGCACACGCAAGGATCGCAGCTCTACCCTGCTCAGCCGTCTCCCTGCAGCTAATGCCTGACAGCTCTGTTTATGTCTCCCCGTAATTCTGCAGCTTTATGGTTTTTTTTTTTCCCCCTTTCCGGGGCCATTAAGCTCACAGCTACAGGCTCCATCCCCTGCCCCCGCCTGCCTTTGTCCTTGAGGCCTAGCTGCCCCAAAGCTCTTTGGGAGATAGGCTGTTCCCTCCTGGCTGGTGGATAAGAATCCTGAGCCCCAGACCTTGTCTGGAGGCCTCACTCAGGCCAGTCCACAAGCTCTCCTGATACCAACTCCTTCACCCTTCCATCACAGGTTATGTTGGCCTGTTCGCAAGGCAGATCCCACAGTTGGCAGCCTGGATGGACTGCTGAGCCTCGCCCCATCTCTGCACTAATTCTGCTTCCCCTCTGTTCCCTCCTTTGGCTCGTCTGTGTGACTGATTTCTTCCCTGAACCTAGGCCCCTTTCTGAGGACAAAGACCCCTGGCCCATCTCTCTCCTTATCCTCTAATCTTTGGATTGGGATCTAGTGTATCCATGGCATCTTCAAGTCTCTCCACTCCATAGAGTCTCTCCCACAACCATTTACCTGGATTCCCCTGCCAAGGTCCCTCCAACCTCGCTCCACAGTACAGAGCATGCCACATGCCCAGCCACTACAGATTCTATGCCTACATCCCAGAGGGCTCCCCTGGTCTCTAGGCTCTGTCCCGGTATCCCCATAGAAGGTTCATGGTGCTTTATTACCTTTAATGGCTCCCCTCCCCATCCCACCCCATCCCCACTTAGTATACTGTACCTCCAGCCCCAAGACCTCCTGGGCTGCAGCTGCCCT